CACATTATTCTCAATCACTTTTGATCAATCATTGTTCTTTCTATTAGATCATCAAGATCATCCTTGTAAACTCTTTTATTACCAAAAATCAATATAAACAACGTATTCATTCTCTAAGTTCTTAAAGGATTCAGCCCACGATTGTCTTCTCCCCAATCCTAACCTAACCTAAACTAGGAAGTGAGTTTTATCCCTCACACACACCGAGCAAGACCTCTCGAAATCAAAATCCAACACTTGACGATTTATAGTATCAAGATAAGGACAATCTCGACCATTAGATCGCTCTACCACTCTCTTACGCTTCGCATCTCTCTCTTCTTCAACAACTTCTCTATCATTCTTCATCCTCGAGATTTCAATAAACTAAACGAGAGATCCTCAACAGAATAATAGCAGTGAGATCGAAGGTCGTGTATCCTAATTTGTTTTTCAGCTCTAATTTAAAGGATTATTCAATTTTTAATCTTAAAACCACTAGTTTCCTTTTTGATATTTACAAAATTTTTAAAAGTACTATTTATTTTTTACTTTTTTTCCGTAATTTTGACTTTCCCCTCATGATCTATAACTCTAATTTGTTTTTTTCAGCTCTAATTTATAGATTATTAAATTTTTAATCTTAAAACCACTAGTCCCTTTCCTTTTTGATATTTACAAATTTCTAAAAACACTAGTATTTATTTTTACTTTTTGATAATTATACAATTTTTACATCTTAACTTTTTTCGTACTGTCGACTTTCCCCTCATCGAAAACCCTAATTTTTTTTTTCAGGTCTAAAAATCATCCTTGGAAACCATCGACATGAAATTCTTCGGTAAGATGTGACCTCTTGCTCGGGTTTTATTTGTCTTGTGTACGTACCTAAGATTGTTCGATCTAATAGGTTTCGTAAATATTGTTTCGGATCGTAGAGGCGAACACAGTGGTCTTCTGGGACGTGACTGACTTCCCTATCCATACCGGTCGCTCTTATCTCGAGACTCTCACATCAGTTCTTGGAAACAATGGTTATAATGGTAAGCTGAAAATCACAGCTTATGGTGAGGAGAAACCAGACAATCTAGGTGATGGAGTCACCTTCGTACTCAGACCTGTGCTTCGAAAACCTTTTATTTTTTTAATTTAAATTTTATTTTCATGTCGTCTCTCTTGTTGACATTGCTATTTACTCATTTATTTCCAGGGGATAAATATTCGAGACTGTGTAAGATGTTACTGGACATTGCTGTGTGGGGAATGGACACAAGTCACTTGTCTTTTACCCCAAAAAATGTGATGGTGCTGGCGGAAAACATAGAAGAAGATACGTGCTTTGTCCATGTTTCTAAGAATTTGTTAACAAGTGCTAATAATTGTCTCTGGGTGCTCCCTGATGATTACGAAGATGAGAAAATAAAGCGTGTGAAACTTCCTTGGGCAAAATTATATTGGAAATGGCAGGATCTGTTGGCTGGAAAAGATCCCATGTCCTGTGAGGATGTACGTGCATTGCGTCTCAAGGCTCCCTCTAATAGCCTAGTGGAATAATGTATCTGAACTTGAATGTTTTGTGTAAAATCATCTCAAACTCTGTGGGTGATTTTGTTGTAGTTTCAACCTTTTTTTTTCCCATTCTCTGCTTGAACTTAAATGTTTTGTGTAGTAATAATCTCTCATCTGGTTGAACAATTCAATTTGATGATTTTGTAACAATTCTGTGGGTTCTTTTTTTTTTTAACACAATTTACTTTCATTCATCAACTTTCTTGAGTACAATTACAAGAGGGAATTATCCATCCTTTTTGATAAGAAGCATAAGCTACAATAACAAACCAAATTAAGAAAGATAGATCTTCAAAAGAAGATGATTGAGGGCCAACCCTCACCTGCGAAACGACATATAGTAGTGTCGGTTGTATCTTCAGGCCCCGTACAGACCGCTACGCAAGATAACAAACCGGTGATAAAGTTGAAACCGATGTTGCTGCGAGGCCGAGAAAACATCTTCTTCCATGGGAAGAAGGCATGGTGGAAAAAACATCTCTTCAAAAGATGAGGAAGATTGAAATATAGAAACCTTCTCGGTGAAACAAAAGACGATACACTCTTCTTAATAAGATAATATGCCATTATACGCAAATTTAAGGTTCCGTTGAATCCACCAGAAATCCTTATCAACCAAACAAATACCAAAACTGCAGATTTCAATAAAATCAGTACTCTGGCTATATATACGCGGCCGTCTAACGAGGGACGGTGTGCTTCAGCCAGTGGCGAGCTTGGACCACCAAAGAAGATCGGTCCTACAAATAGACAGAGCGGAAGAGCGGCACAGTGGATCTCCTCGGAATCCCCGGAGAGGACCGTCAACATCTGCGTTTGTAGGACTAGATCTGGAGGGAGAGGTCCGAGAGTATAGAGACGGCGGTGATGATGGACGACACTGTCGAAGAGGCGTAGATCTAAAGGTTTGGGAGTGACTGAAGCTGACCGGCATGATGGGTTCAGTTTGATGATTTTGTTGTAGTTCCTACCCTCTCTTTTTTCTTTCCATTCTCTGCTTGTTTAGTTGAAGAATTTTCTAAATGTGAAACCAAAACATAAGGAAAATTCATTCTCTTTTAAGGCAAATTAGATATGATCAACAATAAAATTTCTCACAGTAACATATGGATATGCCAGAGATGTTTCACATTGACAGTATATGATTAAAAAGCATTAGGAGCTAATGAAAGCAAATAAATTTTAACACAAAGCATAGTTTAAGAAGTTGTACACAAAAGCAAGGAGACAGCGTTAAAAGCACAACAACCCCAATTTGAAATCAAAACCTAAGAGTACCTCCATTGAGAGTTCAAATGGGGGGTTCACACGGAAACCAAAAAAATAAAATAATAAAATAACAAAAATCTATGAACCTTTCTCTCGTAAAGTTCACCCGGGTGAACCCCTCTCTCCTAAGGTTCAACACGTGTCGCCCCGAGATTGGTCTAGGTCTTTTTTTTTCTTTTTTTTTTAAAAAAGAAAATTCAAAAAGAAAATAGAAAAATTTTAATAATAAAAAATTGATTCAATGAACCCCAAGAAGGGGTTCATTGATGTGGATGCTCTAACTAGTTCTGAGAGTTAGCATCCGCTTCTTTTTGAAGACGTTTAGTAGCGGAACCAGCAGTAGCAGCAGCATCAGTTTCACTTCCGGAATCGGAATCGTCATCAGTACTAGAATCCAGGTCGGCGATGGCCGTACCTCCAGAACATAAGTCTGACCAGTACCAAGCTGAAATTGGCCCAAGATAATCAAAATTTTCTGGTGAGGTTCCGTCAGGAACTACTGTGAGAACATTATGACCTCTCTCAATCATTTGGTCAAAAAAACTGTCCATGTTATCGTTATCTTCCCCTGGGATACCCTTTGCAATATACAACACATTTTTTATTCCTCCATACTGTTTACGGTGGTAAACCCAGCGTCCGATGGAATGTAAGCAACGATAAAACCTTGTACGTTTATCGACAAATTTATATGCGGTAAAGGACCCCTCGGTAAAGACATATCGATCAAAATCAAAGGAATCCGAACTACCAAAAGCATAGAACTCCACGTCACAACGAATACCATGACTGAATATAGCTAACTCGACATTCTTAACAAACAAATCTAAATCGAGACCAGGAGGGAGTGGGAAGTCATCCATGTCCCAGAAGACGCCTGTCCAACCATCTGCATGCATGCACGAGCGAGAGAGGTGATTATTAACAAAATAAACAAATCAGATCTAATTGATAATTACTGAAGGTAAAAAGACAAAGCAAGAGAGAGAGATATCTTACAGATGACCATGGTGGTTTCAGAGCAGATGGATCGGGACTTATTAGAGGAAGAAGGGAACTGATTCTAGGGTTAGGGGATAAAGAGTGGGTTTTATTCTTCGAGAAAGCCATTCCATACAAGGCTTCTATAAATTACCCAATTTACGGCCCGTATCTTTTTTTTTATATGATTATTACAGGGAAAATTGCATTGTATAACGACAAAAAAAATATAATTCATTTGGTAACTAATTACACTAAGGGTGATTTTGTTCAATAATCATAAGAGTTCAAAAAATTAAGAATCTAACCACTGAATAGTTGATGTGACAATTAGAGCCAAATCTTGAAATTTTTATCCTTCACTTGCGTGTGCGTGAGTATATGCGCGTTACATTTTCTAAGGAACATGATTAAAGTATACTATACCATAAATCATATAACATAGTCAGACGAGGCCGCACATTTTACTCACGGCCAAGGATTAAAATTAGGCATTTTTTTATTGGCGATGTATAAAGACCCTTTTGCTTCCATCGTGTTTGGATATTGCTGACTTCATTCTAAACTATAAGTAATATAGTATATAATGGACAATTCAATTTAACACAAGGTATATCCACAGACATCATTAGACGTGAATGGGAACGTTATGTATCATGTTCGTGTCTGACCCTATGAGCAACACTATACTATAATATATATGATGTAGTATAAGCACAAGGAAACACAAAAGACACCAGAAGCACATGTGCTTGTGGGCGCCAAAGTGAACTCCAATACAGAGAGAGGGAGAGGGAGAGGGAGAGGGAGAGGGGGAAGGGGAAGGGGAGGGATTGAGGGAGAGGGAGAGGTGGTTAGCAAGCAATGAAAATGTTTTGAAATGGGTTGACGTAACTGCATATACGGTATACATACTATACTATACTTTTATATACGGTGCATAGTATAATATCAATATAACATCCAAGCTCACAACAAAAATTCATTTCGGCTAAAGAAAAATAACCAGGCATGGGGATATCGGGTATAAAAATGTGTTGTTTGTGGGTAGATGAAACATATAATACAACGAGAGAGTGATATAGTATACTATGGACAGTTCAATTAACTCAAGGTATATGCACAGACATCATTAGCTGTGAATGGGAACGTTATGTATCATGTTCGTGTCTGGCCCTATGAGAAACACTATACTATAATATATATGATGTAGTATATAGAGAGAGAGAGAGAGAGAGAGAGGGAGAGGGAGAGGGAGAGGGAGAGGGAGAGGGGTTGAGAGTGAGGGAGAGGGAAAGGGAGAGGGGGAGGGGCAGAGGGAGAGAGAGGCGGAGAGGACATGGAGAGAGGAGGGGATGGGATGGATATATATATATATATATATATATATATATATATATATATATATATTATAAATAATTATAAAAAACTATACTATTGTATATAAAAAACTATACTATTGTATATATAATATAGTGTGAATAACTGAGAAAATGAGACATGTTCCTTTCACGCGCAGTTAAATGATAATATAGGGATTAAAGATGAAAAATTCAACCATAGCCTAACCATAGTTTTATTATGGTTAGTTATTGTTTTTGTTGGGTTATTATGGCTATTGAGCCAAATTTCCCTTACAGTAACTTACTGATATGCCTTGTAAGTTTTATATATTATTGTGTAATAATAATCTCTCATCTGGTTGAACAATTCAATTTGATGATTTTGTTGTAGTTCCTACCCTCTTTTTTTTTCCGTTCTCTGCTTGTTTAGTTGAAGAATTTTCTAAATGTGGAACCAAAACATAAGGAAAATTCATTCTCTTGTAAGGCAAATTAGATATGATCAACAATAAAATTTCTCACAGTAACATATGGATATGCCAGAGATGTTTCACATTGACAGTATATGATTAAAAGGCATTAGGAGCTCATGGAAGCAAATAAATTTTAACACAAAGCATAGTTTAAGAGGTGTACACAAAAGCAAGAAGACAGCATTAAAAACAACAACAACAAACCCAATTTATTTATTTATCTGCTAACTAGTTCTGAGAGTTAGCATCAACTTCTTTTTGAAGACTTTTAGCAGCAGCAGCAGCATCAGTTTCACTCGCACGTTTCACACCTCAAGCACGATCAGTTTCTGGTGAGCCACTTCCGGAATCGGAATCGTCATCAGTAGTAGAATCCAGGTCGGGGATGGCTGCGTTTCCAGAACATAAGTCTGACCAATACCAAGCTGAAATTGGCCCAAGATAATCAAAATTTTCTGGTGAGGTTCCGTCAGGAACTACTGTGAGAACATTATGACCTCTCTCAATCATTTGGTCAAGAAAACTCTCCATGTTATCGTTATCTTCCCCTGGGATACCCCTTGCAATATACAACACATTTTTTACCCCTCCATACTGTTTACGGTGGTAAATCCAGCGTCGGATGGAATGTAAGCAACGATAAAACCTTGTACGTTTATCGACAAATTTATATGCGGTAAAGGACCCCTCGGTAAAGAGATATCTATCAAAATCAAAGGAATCCGAACTACCAAAAGCATAGAACTCCACGTCACAACGAATACCATGACGGAATATAGCTAACTCGACATTCTTAACAAACTGATTTAAATCGAGACCAGGAGGGAGTGGGAAGTCATCCATGTCCCAGAAGACACCTGTCCAACCATCTGCATGCATGCACGAGCGAGAGAGGTGATTATTAACAAATAAACAAATTAGATCTAATTGATAATTACTGAAGGTAAAAAGACAAAGCAAGAGAGAGATATCTTACAGATGACCATGGTTTCAAAGGAGATGGATCGGAATTTATTAGAGGAAGAAGGGAATTGATTCTAGGGTTAGGGGATAAAGAGTGGGTTTTATTCTTGGAGAAAGTCATTCCATACAAGGATTCTTCTATATAAACTACCCAATTTGCGGCCCGTATCAATACTATTATTTTCAGTGTTTTTAAAAGTCGGTTTATGTTGTGCCAGTCATAGGTGGATGTGTGCATATATTGATTAAAAATAAATGATTTTTCTTAAAACAAAATTCAAAAAATGTTTTTTTTTTTGAAACAGATTTTTTAACATTGATTATTTCAACATTGAGTATCTTATTTCTAAACTAAATATAGAAAATGATTTTGACTATATAATTAACCTCGTAATTAATTAATTCTATTGATAAAAGGATCATGGATATTCTTATAAAAAACGTTTCCAGCAACAAACCATGGTAAAAGCTCCTAGTTCCGGCGGCTGGTCAGAGCTCCGTTTTAAAATGAGTTCAACCAGGTTTTAAATTAATTGCAAAACTAAACTATCCATTTTGATTCTGACAATGACCTTAGTATTAAAAAAGGGCAGGCGAGGGTTTGAATTTAAACAAAACTGGGCCGGGCCGGGACCGGAAAACATTCATATATATATATAAAGACTAGCGACGCCCTCATCTAACCCTAACTTGTTTTCTAGGTCTTGGAAACAACCATGAGCTGGAACTTCTACGGTAAGTTTTTTTTTCTAGGGTTTTGTTTGTCTTTGTACATCTTTAAGATTCATCGATCGATCTAATAGGTTTCGTTGATATTGTTTCGGACCGTAGAGGCGGACACAGTGGTCTTCTGGGACGTGACCGACTTCCCTATCCATACCGATCGCACTTATCTCGAGACACTCAAATCAGTTCTTGTCATCAATGGTTATACTGGTGGGCTGAAAATCAAGGCTTATGGTGAGAAGAAACCGAACAATCTGGGTGATGGAGTCATCTTCGTGCCCAAAAGTGTGGTTCGAAAACCCCTTTTATTTTCTTATATCTCATGTGTTAATATTGCTATTTATTTCTTTTATTTGTTTCCAGGGGAAAAATATGCGAGACTTAATATCATGTTACTTGACATTAGTCTATGGGGAGTGGACCTAGTTCGCTTGCCTCTTATCCCAAGAAATGTGATAGTACTCGCAGAAAACATAAAAGAAACAACGAACTTTGTCACCGTTTCTTGGAATATGAGATCAGCTGGTACTAAATGTATCTGGGTACTGCCTGATGATTATGAAGATGAGAAAATATACCACTTGAGGCTTCCTAGTGCACACATTTTCTGGAGATGGCAAGATCTATTGGATGGAAAAAAGCCTATGTCCGAAGAGGATGTACGTGCATTGCGTCTCAAGGCTCCCTCTGATCTACATTATTATCCGATTACAGGTGTCAAGAATAATGTAAGCTGAACTTAAAAATGTTTTGTGTAATAATCTCTCTATCTGTAACAACTATGTGGGCTCAATTTGATGATTTTGAAGTTTCAACCTTTTTTTCCCATTTTTCTGCTTGTGTAATTTCATAGAGTTAAATACAATTATTACTGTACTTAAGTCAAAACAAACGAGTGGGCAAGAGACAAAATTAGAGATGATCTATAATAAAAATTTGTTATTCAGAAAAGTTTTTCACTAGCCAGAGATGTTTCACATTGATTAAAGCATTAAGAGCTTCCGGAAGCAAATCATTATAACACAAAACCATAGAGTTCACACAAAAACAAGAAGGCAGCGTTAAAAGCACAACAACAACAACAACAATAAACTCAATTCCGAGAGTGAGCAACATCAGTTTCACGTGCACGTTCCACACCTTGATCAGCACCATCAGTTTCTGGTGAGCTGCTTCCGGAATCATCATCAGAAAAAGTAGGATCAGGAAGCTCGATGGACTTGTTTCCAGAACATAAGTCTGACCAATACCAAGCTAAAGTTGGCTCAGGATAATCAAAATTTTCTGGTGAGCACCCATCAGGAACTACTGTTAAAATACAATGACCTCTATCAAACAGTTGGTTAAGAAAACTGATCATGGTATCGTTATCTTCCCCTGGCATAGCCTTTGCGATAAACAACAAACTTTTTGTCCCTCCATACTGTTGACGTTTGTAAAGCCAGTTAAGCATGCCATGTAACAATCTATAAAACCCTGAACGTTTATCTTCAACTTTAAATAGAGTGAAGAACTCGTTATCGCGATAATTAAAGGAATCCGAACTAGTATAAGCAAAGAAATCAACTTCAGGACCACGAAAGCCCTCACTCGATATAGCTAATTTGACATTCTTAACAAACTGATTTACATCGAGACCAGGAGGGAGTGGGAATTCATCCATGTCCCAGAAGACGCCTGTCCAACCATCTGCATGCATGCACGAGCGAGAGAGGGAGGTGAGTATTAACAAAATAAACAAATCAGATCTAATTAATAATTACTGAAAGTAAAAAGACAAAGCAAGAGAGAGATATCTTACAGAGGACCATGGTTTCAAAGGAGATGGATCGGAACTTATTAGAGGAAGAAGGGAATTAATTCTAGGGTTAGGTGCAAGGGTGGGTTTTACCCAATTTCCGGCCCGTATTTTTTTATATATGATTACAACGGATATGAACATGAATATCCAACTGAACATTTTTTATAACCCTAAAATCTATACTATTAAAAGGGATTAATCGAGGGAACGTACACCTCATCGTAATAGTTCTCTTCGAAAAGAAGCCATATGGAATTTACAAAAATATAATTTAAAAAAAAATGTAAATATCAAAAAAATATATTTTAAAACAAATTAATTGTACATATATAACTTACAGTGAAAATAAATATTAACATATGAAACCTTACTTAAAAAAACTAATTATTAAAATAAAATGGAAAATCAGAAAAAAATAGTAACATTAACAAAAATATAAATTTTAAAAATGTAAATATTTCCAAAACAAAAATTAAAGCGAAATTAATTGTACATATGTAACCAAAACTGAAAAAAATAAATATTAACATATGAAACTTTACTTAAAAATGCTAATTATTAAAGTAAAATGGAAAATCAGGAAAAAAAGGAAGAATAACATTAACAAAAATATAATCTTCTCTTAAGTATAATATATCCAAAGTACCATTTATACCAAAATAAAATGGTAAATTAATGTTAAAGTAACAAAAAATAATAATGAAATTTGCTTCTTTTTTTATGTGCCTAAATCATGAAACTTTCTAATATATAAAGTATAAGTGTGCTTATAAATAGTCGTCAAAACAAAAGATTTTTTTTTTGTAATTAATGACGGGTATGTACTATAGATAACATTCTTACAATTTATTTGATTATTCATGTTTTTATTGTCTTTCTAAAATTTTTGTATGCAATGAAGGATATGTAGTAGTCGGCAACATCAAAATAGGTATTAGTTCGTTGTGTATTAGTTAAAGTATACGTTGGAGATAGTAGGATCCTTGATGTTTGATTTAAGAGTTACATGTTGATTATTTTAGAACAGTTCGTATTACAATGTAATAAAACTTAGGTTAGGCAATCTCAAACTGAGTTTCAAAGATATTATTTTCAGCGATTTCAAACATGTGAAAACCCATGGTCGAGGGCGAAATGATAGGCTATGATGCAAATCTGGAAATATATTGTTTCCCAGCAAGATCCCAAAGGTAGCTTGGTAATTCGTACTTTCCGATGGATCTCCAAGATAGTTTCAATTAAAGAAATAGACAATAAATAAATGTACAGGACAAAAAATATATATAATATCAGAAATATAAATATTACATTAAATATTTATAATTATATTATCATTTGATATAAGAAAAATAAACAATAAAAAAGTAAATATAAAATATAAAAAATATATTATATTAAAATAAATAATAAGTAAAATATTAAAAATAAAAAAGTAAAAACACAAAGCAAGAGAGAGATATCTTACATAAGGAAAATTCATTCTCCTTTAAGGCAAATTAGATATGATCAATAATAAAATTTCTCACAGTAACATATGGATATGCCAGAGATGTTTCACATTGACAGTATATGATTAAAAAGCATTAGGAGCTCATGGAAGCAAATAAATTTTAACACAAAGCATAGATTAAGAGGTGTACACAAAAGCAAGAAGACAGCACTAAAAGCACAACAACAACAACAAAACCCAATTTGATATAGAATCAAAATTATTTATTTATCTGCTAACTAGTTCTGAGAGTTAGCATCAACTAAGCAGCAGCATCAGTTTCACACCTTGAGCACGATCAGTTTCTGGTGAGCCACTTCCGGAATCGGAATCGTCATCAGTACTAGAATCCAGGTCAGCGATGGCCGTACCTCCAGAACATAAGTCTGACCAGTACCAAGCTGAAATTGGCCCAAGATAATCAAAATTTTCTGGTGACGTTCCGTCAGGAACTACTGTGAGAACATTATGACCTCTCTCAATCATTTGGTCAAAAAAACTGTCCATGTTATCGTTATCTTCCCCTGGGATACCCTTTGCAATATACAACACATTTTTTATCCCTCCATACTGTTTACGGTGGTAAATCCAGCGTAGGATGGAATGTAAGCAACGATAAAACTTTGTACGTTTATCGACAAATTTATATGCGGTAAAGGGCCCCTCGGTAAAGAGATATCTATCAAAATCAAAGGAATCCGAACTACCAAAAGCATAGAACTCCACGTCACAACGAATACCATGACGGGATATAGCTAACTCGACATTCTTAACAAACATATCTAAATCGAGACCAGGAGGGAGTGGGAAGTCATCCATGTCCCAGAAGACGCCTGTCCAACCATCTGCATGCATGCACAAGCGAGAGAGGTGATTATTAACAAATTACTGAAGGTAAAAAGACAAAGCAAGAGAGAGATATCTTACAGATGACCATGGTTTCAAAGGAGATGGATCGGAATTTATTAGAGGAAGAAGGGAATTGATTCTAGGGTTTGGGGATAAAGAGTGGGTTTTATTCTTCGAGAAAGTCATTCCATACAAGGCTTCTATAAATTACCCAATTTACGGCCCGTATCTTTTTTTATATGATTATTACAGGGAAAATTGCATTGTAACAAAAAAATTATAATTCATTTGGTAACTAATTACACTAACTTACCTATATGCCTTGTAAGTTTTATATATTATTGCCATATTATTCTTGTATCTAACCGGTGAAATCTGGAAGCAAAAAAAAATTCCATTAATAATTATTAAAAACAAAATTAACTTGTGGTCCTTCACCATTCACACACTATCTGTTTGTTTCTTTTAATTTGGTAAATTGGTAGATTGTGAATAGCTTCATTTTCAAGCTTGAGCGACACTGTGACCACCGACTGCATTTCTACAGTAGTTTTGTGGAAGAGAAAACCATTTGCGAATGATCTGCAGAGTGACGATGGGAAGCATCAGAGATTTCAAAATCAATAGAGGCGACGACACTGTAACAGGCGCAGCCCAGCGGCGATGTGGCTGAACTCTTGATGATTCAACTTCACAGCAGCGATTTCCAGAATGTATTTTCAACTATTGTAAGTCACGGCTTCTTATCTCTGAATCTGCAGTAGCTTTTCTTCCATTAGTGTCATTGTAGAAACTTCATGAATAGAGTTGAGAAATCTGAAAATTCCTTTTTGTTGCATATGGATTAACTATTTAGAAGTCTGAGAAATCTGAGAAATCTTTATTTTTAGTTTACTTTGTCTTTGTTACTCGAATAAAACAGTATAGATTTGCGAAATATTCGCATTTTGTCTACCATACAATGTACTTAGTATACTATATTGAAAGGTCAAACAGAATAGACAATGTATTTTGTAGATATAATGCATGCGTCTGTTTTTCCATATTTAATTACGTTTTACTTGGTTTTCGTTCTATAGTATCCTTTTATGTATGGTACTATGACACACATTATTTCTATTTGTATATAGAAAAAAAAAGATTTATTCATCCTTGAAAACAAAATAGACATACACATTATAGTAAATAGAATAGTAACTCTTCACATATAGAATAGTTGCAGTGTGATCTTGAATGCTTTCATTTATTTTCTTATGAATAGACTATGTATGTTATCTATTCCTATCCTTGCTGCTTACATGGCATCCCTTCTAAATTTTTGTTATAATTTACGTTCTATTTTCTTGTATTTAGCTGTATGAAACCTAACAACTTTACCATTCTATTGTTTGTATCAGCTTACCAATGGATAACGTAGGGTTGCCATCAGTTGTTTCATTGCTGCCATCGTTCTCTCCTCCTCCACCTCACCACCCATAGTGATCTTTTCACTTCTTCTAAGTGTTGTAATTTATTATTTGTTCTGTTCTATTCTATTTGTCAAACCTAGAATAGAAATATAATTTTACAGTGAAAAACATGAGTTGTGATTTGTTATTTTATATGAAATTTTGGTTTATGTGTATTGATCAGAACTAAGCATTTATAAACTATGTTTTGTTATTTTGTTAACTACATTCACACAAGTGTAGACTTTACAGTTATCAAAAAAAAAAGTAGATTTTACAGAAACTTCTCTTATTCTATTTATAATGATTAAATTTTAAATTTAAAATGAATAATAAAAATAATGAAACGCTTTATAATTCATAATTCTTTTCTATTTTTTATGTAGTACGACTTAATATCAAAACATATTATTATATCATTTTTAGATTTTAATTGTATTTTAAATATTATAAATATATATTATTGTTTATATTTGGATTTGGGTTTAGCAATTTCAGTTTAGGGTTTAGTATTTAAAGATTAGGGATGGGTTTAAGATTTAGGGATTAATTGTGGATAGAATTAGAATCTTATAATATTTCAGTGATATAATATCATTAGCTTTATCACCTATATTATTTCAATTATAAAACTTAGCACTTTTAACTTCATTAGCTCTATTGTCAAAATGTATTGTTATATTGTTGATATAAATTTTGGTTAATGAGTGTCGATCAAAACTTAACACTTTTTAATTCATATATCTATTTTATTTTCCATATAGTATAGTTAACTATCACAAGATATTATACACTATTTTTAGATTTCAGTTTTATTTAAAATCTTGTAATTGTGTTTGGGTTTAGCAATTATGGTTTAGGGTTTAAGTATTCAAAAGTTGGGGTTGAGTTTAATATTTAGAGATTGTTGGTAGGATTTGAGTTTTATACTGTTCCTGGATATATAATACATTTTTTATTGACAATGCTAATTTATATTTGGGTTTAGGATTCAGTAATTAGAATTTAGAATTTAATATTTAAGAATTTGGGGTTAAAGTAAAGTTAGAGTTGTAAGTGGATTGAGATTTATATACTACAAAAATGATAGGGTCTATATAGTATGGTAAACA